TCAAGGACATTTTCTGTTAGATTTTCTTTTTAAAACAGATGGCCATTTTGTTTTTCAAAAAGCTTTACACAAGGCCTTTTTTGAGATTTACTCCTAGAAGTTTTAGATTTATGCCATTGTTTTCCATGAGTCGTTCTTATTTCTGCTATGGGAAAAACTAGCTACTGTTGCCCAGATAAAATCTGGACACAGCATAAAAAGATACAGGGGTGTAGATCTTAATAAGCATCTGCAGCAATGCTTACACAGTTATGTGAAAAATATTTGTCCAGTTTAGATTTTTATGACTGCGTTTTTTGCCACTAAATATCAGATCTTCTTGTGGATTCTAATGATATATAAAGGAAGTCTGAGTGAAAAAATGACACCCAAATTTGGTGCTTGTTTTGTTTATTGCATCACCACATCCAAGATGATGAAATTCATACTTTTTCACCAGTATGAAAAAGTAAATGCCCCCCTTAGATTCAGTAACTGGTTGCATGGCCTTCAGTTTCAGTAACTACAGCCAAATTCTTCCTATAATTGGCGATCAGCCTCTCTCTCCCCACTCTATGGGAATTTTAGCCTTTTCCACTGTGACAACTGCTTCAGCTTAGTAACGTGAGGTTTTCTAGCATTAGCTACTCATTTCTGGTCCTGCCACAACATTTCTAGGTCTGGCTTTTGACTTGGTCATTCCACAGCATTGTGTTTGTTCTTCATCTATCCTCATGGATTTGCTTGCACATTTGGGACCGTTGTCATATTGCATAACATACTTATGCTTCAGCTGATGAACTAACATTCCCAGTTGGATTATTTGATACAGAAGTGAATTCATGCTTCCTTCAAGGACAACAAGTCACCCACATCCTAAAGCCACAAAGCATCTCCAAACCATGTCACTACCACTGCCAAGCTTGATAGCTGGTATGAGATTCTTATGGTAGAAAGCAGTGTTTGGTTTCTATTCTATATAAAGACACTCATGTACCCCCTCCCCATTCCACTTTCATCTCAGCTGTCCATAGATCTTTCCTTCAGAAGTCTAGAGGGTAGTATCAGTACTTTTTGGCAAACAAGAGACAAGCAACATTGTTCTTCTTAGTGACCTGTGGCTCCTGCCTTGCTATTCTCCCATAAGCCATTTTAATCCAGGCCCTTCATGAAGGTGACATCATCAACAGTGAATTTAGCCAAGGTGAAAGAGGCCTGAGAATCTCTGGTTGTTGTGTTGGAGCTCTTAGTGACTTCCTGGACAATTTTATGCTGCACTCTTGGAATGATTTTAACAAGAGAATGCATTTTAAGAAAATTTACTACTTTCCCAAATCTCATTCCAAGACTGTGTGTTTGACTATGAATTGGTTAAAGCCCCAGAGTTCTAGAAATGGCTTTGTAACATTTTCCAGACTGGTAGGCTTAAATCACATTTTTTACAGGGGTCTTCAGAAATTTCTTTTGAGGAGGGTTATATTGTGCCTTTACAGTTTGTGTGGTCAGAACTTCATTCTGATGGGGGAAGCCAAAGATTGTGAGATTGCCATACTAGCTCTGACTACTAAAGTACTTCACAAGTGACCCTAGTTATTCCTTCAATTTACTTGACTGAGCAAGGGAGGGGGGGCAGATACTTTTTTTTACTAATTTATAGCTGGATCTCATGTGTTTTGTTTTCCTTTACTAATGAACTTTCAGCTTCTAATGCCTCTGTATGGAACTCAAGAAACCCATAAAATATAGCTGAAGCACCATCTCGGTTTTTGACTGCCAACGTAAGGTCCTCTGTATTCCTCTTCTAAGTACTTTCCATGTAGAAAAATTGCAGAATGGATATTTCTCCCATAAAACTAGGATTATATCCAGTGATATCCATGCTGCCATCAGATTCTCCTCTGATCCCCTATGCATATCCCAAACCCTAATCCCAAGCTCCTGAAAAGGTCAGGTTGAGTAAACCATTCTTCAAGGAATCACAAATAACCATGTTATCAAACAGTCAGTGGTTTCAGTTGTTTTCCTTCCAGGCAGCTCCCTCACTTCTGCCTCTTACTTATCCAGGTAATCCTTACATGACTACTTCCTTACCTAAGACTTTCCCTCCAAGACAGCTAACAGCTAATTGGTAGTAAACTTTGGAATCAGCTGTGCTCATAGCACAATAACCTGATCTAGTTGGCAGCCAGGGCCCACTAAGGCTATTTGAGAAGTCTCTTCCCATTTGATTTAGAATTTTCTGATTGGGCATTTTGCTCCTAGAAGCAAAACCTAAATATTATCACCACCATCAACCCCACCATTCTTTTGTGTGTGTGTGTGTGTGTGTGTGTGTGCCATCAAGTCACTGGTGACTCCTGGTGACTGCCTGGACAAGTTCCTGCAGCTTTCTTGCCAGATTTTTCAGAAGTGGTTTGCCCTTGTCTCCTTCCCAGGCTAAGAGAGAGTAACTGGCCCAAGGTCACCCAGCTGGCTTTGTGCCTCAGGCTAGACCTCAGTCTCCCTGTTTCTAGCCTGGTACCTTAACCACTACATCAAACTGGCTCTCCACACCATTCATAGCAAGGATCAAAACTTTAAAATGCCCCACTGTTGCATTCAGATGCCACTTCCTATCTTTCTCTAACTCCACCCCGCATGCCATCAACTCACTCTGCTACATGACAGAACTAGCTCAGAGACTCAAGATCTTATCCCAAATCCAAACCAAGTATATTAACACATATATACACAAAATAGCAACAACAAAATCAAAGCAGTTTTTCCAGAAATTCACTATAATTTAACTGAACTCATTTAACAGCTTCAGGAAGGTGTTTGTCAGTTCTGAAGTGACATGTTGTACAATGCAGTTTTTAGTCTGCCATCTAATTGGGGGGCAAGGAGCATTTGGATCTAAACATGTCTGATAAATACAATAAATAATTATCCTAAATGCATTGCTAGAGCTGCTGCAGTGGAACTGAAAGAAAGGCCCAAGTGCCTCATCAGCCATGGTCCACAGCACTGAAGAGAGAGTTCTTTCATTTTAATAAATTCACTTTTAAAAAGGAATATTTCTTGGCTCAAGGTGTCATAGGCCTCTCCTGTGTGGGGCAAGGAAACCATTTAACACCCATGACTGCTCTGAAAAGTACATATCTGATTATTTGATTTGCATCTTTAGTATCAACAGGGAGACATGAGGCCCTTTAATAGTTGTCTGCTCTAGCAGCTGTTTTCATTTCTGCTGGTTTTTCACCTCCCGCCCTTTAATTTTTGACATAGTTTCACTGAAACCTGGTTGTTAAAAGTGCAAAGCTGTTTTGGAAAATCTTTGGATTAATAAAGCAGGCCAACTTCCATTCATTAGCTCTACTCTTTTCCTCTGAAGCAACAGAAAACAAGTAAATCTGTTTCATGCTCTGTGCTAATGCGATGGAGATCTACAGTGGTTGAGAACCACATACATAACTGAGTAAACATATATTTTAAATGTGTTTCCAGAAGCTGCTCAAGTAACACAGATTTTGACTCATCTCATTAATTTGGACTTTCTTGCTCTAATGAGGATAAAATTAGGACAAGCAAGGAATCAAAGAACACTTAATACACAGAAAGAATTGGGTCAGTGATTCAGAGTCCCCAGTTAGTAAAACAAACATAAAGTTAAGAATACATCATCCCTTGTTACCACAGCATAGGCACTATTCAAGCAATGGGCAAAACATTATTTTTTACTCCTTAATGGAACGTTGCAAAGAAATTCCGTAAAGGAAATGATGTAAAGGGAATGGGGACTCTGTCAATCTGTCAGCATGATCATTCTCTAAAAACGGAACAGTATGGGACCAAATCTGGTGTGGCTAAAGACAGGAAGATTGAGTTCAAAAATGGAACTGCAGAAGACCCCCGCCTTCCAAATTACCCCAATACATCCCTAAAAAAAAAAGCAGTTGGAGAGTGTTCCAGAATGGCAATCGCTCCATTCTAAGCCCCCTTCCCTCTTCTCTCCCAATCACATGTATGTAGCCCACCCTGTGGTTCCTACTGCACAGATACACACACACACACACAGATGCAAAGTGAGGTAAAGCACCCACACAGATACAACCTTCTATTTCAATATCCTGAATTCAGTACAGATGCCTCCTATGGCCACTGCTGGTAAAGGGGTTGGGAAAAAATCCTAGAAGCTGTGCTGTGCATGCACTCCCCACCTTTGTTACACGATAATAAAGGCCAAAACATTCAGGCTAGAATGCACTTTTCAGTGGTGCCTGCTCTCCCAGAAAAGAGAATTAGATGAGATACTAAAATTGCATGTGGTTTATTCACTAAAAGGTTACCAGAAAAGAATATACAGTAGGTGGGTTTCAGGAGACCCTGCTTTTATGGTAGTGGTGTTCGCCTCGTTCTGATGAGAAGCCAGCTAGTTAGGTTTGAAGACACAGGAGTCACTGTAGGTTATCTAAGAAATAGTGTGTGCATGAGTGTGTATCAACTAGCTGTAACTGCAAGTAGAAAATAAATCAGATGAGTCCTTTGCTGACTTCACTGCTGTTTGCCTGTTACCCCAACCATGACACATGGCCATGGGAACATTGTGCTTTGGGCTGCTTTGGGGCCTCAAGATCTGGGGGCTCACAATCATTAATGGAACATGGGTTCTGGATTGCATCAGTACATTCTGTAGGAGAATGTCAGGATATCTGTACATGAAGCTTAAACAAGTGTGGGACATGCAGCACCCTGAACAGACAATTCTACAACAAAATGGCTGAAGTAGAAGAAACGTTGCATTTTGGAATGGTTAAATCAAAGCCCTGATGTGAACTAAAAAAAATATTGTGGGATCACCTGAAGAGCTCGTGCAAGATAGCTAATGTGGGTGATTGAGCAATATCGACAGCAAATGGGTTGAAGTCATTGCTACTATAGGAGGTGTCACCAGTTACTAAAGCTTCACATACTTTTCCCAATAAAAACATTGAGTGAATGTTGGCTCAGTGAGTTCAATGAAGACAAGATAAAGTACATTGTTTTGTGTGTTGTTTAACCACAACCTCTTTATTAATAGGATTTAGATGAAGGTCAGATCCCACTGTAGGTATGTACTGCAGGATTCCTGAAGTTCTAACGAGTTCACAAATTTTCTTTCATCAATGTGAAAACAACAAAGGAAAATCCCAGAAGATCCTAGTTCTGAAGTCTTTATGTCACTGTCCTGCCCACTGAAACCCTTAGCTATCTCCAAACATTTAGTGTGGCTCCTAGCTACTAAATTTGTCTACTCCTGCTCTAGACAATGAGCAGTGACTTGTGGGTACATAAACTTTTTTTAGGAAAAGAGAGCTATTTGCTTTATTAAAATAATATCTTGAAATACAGCTGGAAAGGAAGATGGTTTTGTATTCATTCTCTGCATTTTTAAAACTAAACATGGCTATACCTCATGATCAACTCCATGTAGATTTTTCTGGGTGAGCTTCTCTAGAGAAGTCCAACTATATTTTTCCTTACTACAATTTTCAATAGTTTTATTTTTGAAATGAACCTCAAAAATTTTTCCCTTTCTAGCTTTTCCACAATTGTTTTGTTTTCTTCCAAATAATTCACTTTTATTACATTCCTAGAGAAAATGATGGAAGGAGTGTTTATTCTGACAAATGTATGTCTCTTCTGGAGGAAAAAACCTGTTGGTAAGATACAAGTACAAAGGGTGGAGAAAAGAATTGATTAAATTTTCCCATCTAAAGTAGAAGCTGTTTTAAAAGAATTCATAAAATCTCAGTGCTCAGGCACAGAAATGTGAACACAAAGCCTGAGTAAACTAACACCTGGCTATTTAAAAACTGTGCTGAAATAAAATTCACATTGAAGATATAATTAATATTTGATAGACTGCAGGCTCATCAGCTAATCCAGTATCTGTCAACAGTGAAAATAAAAAGCAGTTACAGTAGGTGAAATATATGTAAAATCAGAGCAGATATGAAACTAGTACTGAATGTAGGAAATAATTTTTTAGATTCTGTTTAGCAAAATTGACATCTATGAATTTGCATACAAATCTCACATATAATGATTTAAATTTAGCTCCTCTTCAGGATCATGAACAGATTACTGTCAGGAAGAAGAGCTTTAAAGTAAATCTTTACTTTTCTTTTGCTAGAATAAAAGCTTACTTTAACTTCATCAGTTGGGAAGAAGTGAAACAAATGTTATCTTAATCGCTTGATTCCGTAAATATATATCAACATGGTTACGTTCTGTTGTTCATATACCATAAAAGTATGGCAAACTTTTCTGGTCCTTAAGATTTGAGCCCTTTGAAATACCGCATTACTATTAATGTTTATTTTTTAAAAGGTTGAATCCAGTTCACATAGCAATGTACACTTATGAGCCACCACACACAAGGTTATACAATAACCAACTGCTGTCTCTTCAGAAACATTACTGTAATATGCCTGGTACAAACAGGAGATTCCCTATGACTCCCCACATCATACAGTAATTAGACTGTGGATTGTTCTCCTCTATCGTAGTGGATTTGAAGAGGTCTTGATTTTTTGTCCATGAATTAAAATAAATTTCTGAGTCCCCAAAGGAAAGAAGCAGAATTACTCTATCAATGGAAGCGTCGCCTTTTTCCTTGTTTACTTCTGAGATGGCCAGCTGATCGCCTGAGTTTTCTCCTCTCTTCATGATGGTGTTTCTCTGCTTCTTGCTGTTTTTTATGTTGCTCAGACTGAAAAAAGTTACAAAAATTACCTAAAGACAATAGCTTACATCCAATGAAGTCCCTTCTACCAGTAGAACAGATATCTTTTAGTGGAAGGGAGAGACAAAATGGTGCCCCCCCTCCATTTGTATCTTTTCCCTTCTCCACCATCTTCACTTATGGGTTAGGAAACATGTGGGGGAAGGGGAGAGAAAGCAAAAACTTTGGGGGTGTGAGTCTGTTCATTAAATTTGCAATTAGCCTCTTATTCCTATAGGAGAGAGATGAGCAGTACAAGCTTGCCAAAATTAAAAACAAAATAAAACTTAATAAAAAAATTATTAATGAGCATAAAGTAAGTAGATAATTGTTTTTTTAATCTACTCATAATATTAAGAGATCATAGCTAAGTTTAGCTGCTAAAATCATAATGTCTGTTTTGGTCCATTATGGAAAGAAACAAGGCTGTTTTGTTCTAGATGTAGATCAAAATGCAGTTTTTCCAGGGTGTGGTTGGAGGAAGAGTGTGAAAACCCCAAGGATGAGGAATTTCCTTGGTGATAGTATATGTGGACATTGTTGGGGAGGGAGGGAGGAAGGAAGGGCCTGTGGGATATGCTGTGCTAAGACAGTGGGGGCTATAGCAAGGGAGACAAGGAGGGAAGGCAGGCCAGCCCACAGGCCATGTGGAGGAGAAGGGGACAGAAAGAGTAACTAAACATGAGATTTGCCCTATTTGCCCCATAAAATCATTCTGGGATCCCTTTGGATTTGCTTTTGTCAAAATCCAAAATCAAAATGTTCTGGGTTTTGTTTCTCCTGGGTTCTCCAAAACTGTTAAGCAAGACTTGAAAAATGCAATAGTTTGTTTCACGTTTAAAACAAAACATACTTTCCATTTTGTGCATACCCCAAAGTATCAGAATAATATGACAGATCTTTACTTATTGAACAAGGAATAATGTATTCAGGGAGTAAATTGCTCTGCATTCTGAGCAAACATACATAGCCTTGAATGAACTCTTGATTGCCCTCTTTCTAATTGTCAGTGTAGCATTGTTATATTTCCATTTCAATTGGTTTGAAATTCATTTTTAGAAACAAGTTTTTTAAAATGAATTTTGTTTGTCTGATTTTTTTGTTTTAGAAGTGATGATTTTGGGGCTGGCTTGGTTATTGCTCTTTGCATAGCTCTCTGCCTGCCTTTTGTATATAAAAATTCAGTAAATAAGCACTACAAATATTGATACCCGCTTTACTGATGCCACTACTCCTCTAGCAAGAACATGTTTTATCATTCCATAATTTCTTCTAAACATTAGCTTGAGTATGAATTATATGTAGCACAGAAATAATCCACTGAAACAATGATCAGTGTGTTTTATGCACAGCATTTCTTTTCCATGGTTACTTCTGACTATGAAGCAACCCAGAATGCAAGAAACACACTATGATGTAGTGTAGATGCAAAGGGAAACAACCAACAGAGGGTTTAAAAGCACACAATATGGGGAAGTGTATTTTTTGAGGGAGGAAATTGTATTAAAATGTGACTATCACCCTTCTCCTGCCCTTCCAGACTCTAAGAGCTGGCAAAAACCTTAAAGATGTCTACAATTACAACTTACGTTATCAGGCTGAAAACTCCTAGGGTAGCTACCAAAAAACTTCCTAGAAGCTAGTTAATTCACCAATACAGTAAGCCATCTGAATACAGTAACAGAAGCAAAATTTGCCTTCTTGATAATTTAAAGCCTTTTTTTAGTTTATTTTAAACAAACCTAGCTTTTATAGCTATGAAGTCAATCCAAAAGAGGTATAAATTATGGTCTGGCTCCTAAGAAACTGCTAGTAGTGGATCTTAACTCATGGACCAGAGGTTCCTAATTCCTTCCTCTTGTAACTGCATATAAAAGCTACTCTTCGTGAGTGTGGGATGAAACCTGCAACAAAGCAAAGATGGGTGGGAAGGACTGCAAGAAAATTGGAGAGCACTACAGGTATGTGTGGGGGGTGATGGTGGTGAGAACATAAAAGAAACCGAGATCCATCCTATTCCCATTTCTGCTTTGGCTAGACTTCTGCAGCAGCCAAGTTAATACCCAGTGGAAGCATAATGCCAAATGGATCTAGCTGTCATAACACAGATTCAATCAGACAAAGATTTAGTCCCTTGCATAGCCTGATGCCCCTTCCCATAGCTGGTGGCAGCAAAATAAAATATGCAAAACAAAGAGAGAGAGATGCAAGTCTGCCAAGTTAGCCCAGCACAGACAATTCAGCCTTAGAAACAATAATCTGCCTGCCATGCGCAAGAGGAAAGCGGTGTCATCAGAAGGCCCATTTAGTACTTCTACTGTATTGGTCTTAACATTTTTAAATTCAGGATTTATGCTTACCTTTTTTAATTTAAAGGTAACTTGTTTACTTCCTACAGTGGTATCATGAACACTAAGTGCACCAACCCTCTCTTCAAGTTGCAAGCGATCTCCAAGTGACTTTCTGCAAAAAAAGATGAGAAGATAAAGTCAGCATCTACTTTTATGATCAGCATATCATCCCCCATAGTAACTATGTACTTCGAGAGCAAATAAAACAGAAAATAACCAGGGAGGGAGGGAGATATTCTTTAGATTAGGACAGGCCAGTGGGCTGACTGGCTAGCTGGCTATGGATCCTATGACATATCAACCTAAGACCATATCCAGATTTAAGGGGCCATGATGCTTGTACAATGATGCCACATGTGCCTTGTGCCTTCCTATGCACAGCCCCATCATAATTTCTAGGGAGCTGACAGAGGTTGTAGTTGCACCTCCTTTTTTAATTGGTGTGTAAATGAGTGGATGAATTAAGAGAAATCCTTCTTCACTATGTCTGTATCTGGGCTATGAAATCAATTGTCTTTAGCAGAAATCTGAAATCATCAGTACATAAAATGCACATCTTAATCATGAGCAATGAAAAAAGTGAGGACAAATCTAGGGAATGCAATAGAATGGTAGTCTTACTTCATTAACTTTTGCTTTTTGGCAGTGTCTTGGAAACTTCTAAATTCTTCCCCAGCTTTAATCTCATAAAACTTTGGTTCCAGGACTGTTTTCTGATCCTCCTTGAACCTTTCCTGCCGTTTTACTTTTTCCTCTTGGCATAGAAGTCTGCGCTGTTTCCTGACCTCTTCAACCCATCCTTTTTCATCATCTGAAGACTCAGAACTTTCTGCATCACTTGGTTTTCCTTCTGGCTCTTCCTCTTCTTCCTGAAGACAAAAATAGTCAAGTTACAAAAAAAAAAAAGAAAAAGAAAAGAACTAACATTCCTTAAACGAACCATTTACCCAATTAGGAGTATGTGATGCTTTACAGATGCACTGTTTGGAGAGGACTTTAATACAAGATTGGGGAATACATTTTCAATAGTATGTCTTTATTGCTAATTACCATCCCCACTGAGCTACTTCATATTACTACATCTACAGTTCTAGATGGGATATAGAAAGATTAACACCCGCCCCTGCCAGAAAAGGGACAAAATATATCCAGTATCAATTAGATTTAATATTCCTATTGTTGAAAGGAGAGAAAATGACCCAAGACTGTTAGGAAGCAAAGTACGGGTTACATCAGCAGATTTCCTAATCTACTCTCCAACTGCCCAACCTAAGAAGCAAACATCTGAAATTAGGAACCAACCTATCAGGAAGCAGAGAGAGGGAAAATGAAAGAGAGACCCATCCCTTGGATTTTTAATAATCCAACAAATAAACAACAACAACCCCTTCCAAAGATAAACAGTGGCAAGAGAAGACCAACATAAAAGGATGCATTCTTAAAAAACATTAAAATATGCCAAAGCTGGGAATCTGACATACATGGGAGCGTAAATCATTCCACAGCATATGTGCTACCACAGAGAAGCCTGGCTCCATCATATCTCCTAGCAGCAATCTGCAAAATTGTGGCATAGAAAACAGGGCTTTCTCCAAAGACTGCAGGTGCCTGATGTATCTTCAGATGTTTTTTAAGATAACCTGCTACCAAGCTATATAAACTCAAAACTTGGAACCAAGCTTGGTGGCAAAGTGCCAGCTAATGTAGATCTTTTAGCAGAGGGATGATGGTGAGACGCTCCCATTAGTAACCTAGCCACTGCATTCTGCACCAATGGTACCCTCTGGACCACTCACAAGGGTAGTCCTGCATACAGCATGTTATAGTAGACCACTCTTGAGGTTACCTATACAATGAATTGCTGTGATTAACCTATTCTTCCCGAGGATTGGGCACAACTAATCTTCTAGTTATACCAGTTAAATTTATAATATGCTTCCTAGCCATGAAGGTAACCTGATCCTTCAGCAAACAGTGATAGATCCAGAAACAACCCTAAACTGCATGTTTGTTCCTTTAGGGGGAACCAGCCCAATCTAGAACAGGAAGATCTAATTTCTATATGAAGAAGCAGACACTCCTAATGCTTCAAATTTATCATGCACTGATATTTTCACCCCTTGTAAATATTTTAAGGCCACCTCCTAATTGCATGTGACCACGGTGCATACTGCATTCCCATTCAGCACAATCTCTCTGCACTTTTCAAAGTATTTGTGCTCAAAGTACAAATACCATGTAAAAGAGAAGGCCCAGTTTGTTATGCTTTATTGGCTGTCCATGTGTGCCTGTTCACAGCAAGAATTGGATGTGTATGTAAGAGACAACATAATTATTCCAAATCTTGCTTGGGATTCTTAGCACACAGTAACTAAACATGTGGTGGGGATAGGAAGGTTGGAAGGTTAAGAAAATATGGTTCTAGTGCATCCTACTGGGATTCTTCTCAAACACTATAAATGAATTGCATCTCAATTTTTATAAATAGCTATTAGAGAACAGTAGAAAATCTCAAATTCTCAGATTTTACCTCTCCCAGGGCTTCGTGATGCTCTAACATCTTTAACTTCTTCTTCCTTTTCTCACTTATTTTAGAAACAAGTGGATTAAGCAGCCTAAACTCTTCACTCTGCTCATCCACCTGGAAATCAGGATTCTCAAACATGATTTTGAAGCGGTCATCACTAAGAATGCTAGGCATTTTCTGGAAGAAAAATGAAAATGAAGTTGAGAAATGGTTGCATAGCTTAAACCTTTCCAAATATACCTGCTAAATGCATTTAGATTTCCAAAGACTTTTGCAGAGCAAGAAGAAGCTTTGTGAAATAAATTTCTATTTTTTTCTCCAATGAGCTATCCATTTTACTCATTTATTCATTTTACTCATTTACTCATTTATTCATTTAATAATTTATTCATTTACTTCATTTATTCATTTAACATTATGCTAAGTCAACTTTTCCAGCTTTTTAATAATTTGCTTGGGGAACTATAATTTCTTCATGTGTTCTCTATCTGATGAGTTTTTATGTTTAAATGATCATTTTTGTTTTACTATCAGTTGCTTTGAGTGCCATTTGTGGTGGAAAGGGAGGATATAAGTTAAACAAATTAAAACAAATGCAACTTGCAAGTTTGCAGCGGAAGAAGGAAGCTGTCAAGCAGAACGTTTTATGTGTTATCTTCCAAATTCTTCTCCAGTCCCTGAAATTTCCACACTACTTACCTAATATTAGGTTGACTTACACTTACTTACCTTATTTTAGCTTATTTTTTATTTCATTTTTATTTCATTTGTTTTACTTATTTAACTTATTTTAATATTCCTATTTGCACATACATATAGTTCAAAATAAAAAGGTTATTTTAAGATCACCGTGGCAGAAGGGATGGGGGATAGCTGTGTTGAATGTACGAGTTATAGTCCTCAATGGAATCCTTTGGGGTGAAATTAACAGAACTTTTCTGTAATGACCCCATTGCTTGTAGAACTTCCTTCCAAAAAGATGACAGGCATCCCTTACTCAAAACTGATTATAAAGACATAGTTGGTGTTTGGTGTGTAAATGTAAGTGTAAGTGTAAGTGAGGTTCTTCTAAGGTCATAAGGTGTCAAACTTTTAATTTCATACAGTAATTTAACTGCTACCTTTTGCCTGGAAAAACAGCACACGTACATCGAACCCAATGAATTGGGTGCTGTTGAACTACTCTCAGCAGCCCATCAGCATGACCAGGGAAGAGGTCCCCATTCTTACCTTAAGCAGATTTTGTTAGAAAATCTGAAGCCCAGCCCAGTCAAGGCACCCAAGATTTAAGCAGGGTTCGCATGGCAATGTCTCATTTACAAACTAAAAGGCAGTTTCACCTTTAAAGTAAGCTATAATTTTAATTAAGATTACAATATTTTGACAAAGCTATTTAATCACTATTTGCTTTTTAGGAGTTAGAAAAAGGTCATTTGAGCCTGGCTGCTGGAAAAATACTAGCACCTGGGAACTAATCTTGTCTAACAACTTGTTTGGACAGCTGGCCAGAAAGGAAAATTCTTTGAGTAGTTAAAATTGCTCTAAAATATGCATTAAGAGTAACTAACAAGAATATTACTAACATAAACTGCTTTGTCACCTATAAGGAGCCAGAAGTTGCTGTGGTAATTTATTTTACCTATAAAATAATTTAAATATAAAGCCCAATTTAAAATACCAAGAGCACGATACTCAAATTGATCAAATAATTGCATCATACCCGGCCTATTGTACAGATGACTAACTTTTAGTTCATATCACTTAAAACAGTTTGCACTAGCCTTAATCACTATTAATTTATTAATTTCAACTTTTCTATACAGGGATGTGTGTACTGCACTCTCATTCATTTCTGATTAATTATAACACAGGTACATTTTGGGTGACAGAATTCAACTTAGCAAATAGAGCTCTTTTAGTTCAGTGATCCTAGTACCATCTCTTACCATAATCTCCAAGGATTAGGGATGGTATCAGTCTTGGCACTGCCAGCAGAGGCCCAGTAATGGAGATGTCAGGAGTCAAATTAGGACCTTCAAAGTTTCTGGTCTCCCCTGAACCTATAGCCCTCCATCACCCCACACATATTCAGACACAGACATCTTTGAAACAGCATCACTGATTTATTTCATTCCATAGAGCTAATATAACAGAAACAAGGAAGAGGAACCTACCTTCTGTTTCCTCTTTCTAGCATTTTGTGGTTCCTCTTCTCCCTCCTCAATCAACTTCAGTGCAAGTTCTTTATTAACTTTGGGAAGTTTCTAGTGAATAAAATGAACATGGATCTCTTTAGTGTGGAATTTGGCACCTTCAAGGTATTTTCTAATCAAATGTATGAATCATCGTACAAACAACAATTGCACTGGATATATAATGAATCAGAATGTGTTAAATTATATACTAAGTGAAAAGCAAGCTCTAGTTACAACCATGCAGCTTTCCTGGATAATTTGAGAAATCCCAAACTATTTAGAAGGTGCTCATACCAGGGATTTCAGTAGGAAACATCAGGAACTTAGATCCTTCTGAGATACCCAAAGGCTTCTGAATATTTCACCAGTGGCTTAAGAAAGAACTGGATCACGCTTACTTTCACAGTAGAGCAGCACATGCTTTGGATATGAGTTAGAAGAAAGATTTCAGACTTTGCCACTGGTTTAAGGAATCCAAGTAGTAGCATTTTTTTCAAGTTCATGAAGAAGCCTGAAAAATTTTGGGATCTCTCCTCCATATTGCAAAGTGAGTTCTAAACACAACGTCCATCCATATTACAACCATTTACATTTTGCCAAGCTAGCACAAAGTAAAATTCAGGCTGTTGACTATCACCTGGTTCAAATATTATTTCTGATGAGGAAAACCCAATCTGCATAGGGGCTACCTAACTCCTCCATCCAGAATGGCCTTTTTCAGATTTCTGATCTGTGTTCTGGGGGTTGAGAGCACTAGGGTTCCTGCTAATATTCAAGCCAATGCCAATAATGCCCTTTCAGAGCTCACCACTTATCCCAGCAAGGCCAAAATCAAAAGTTCTTCTCTGGAGCAGATGAACTTGTGCTCCTTTCCTTTCAGGTACAGCAGCTTTGAAACATGCCAAATGTTTATACAGTGGAACCTTGGTTTACGAACTTAATTCATTCCGTGACTCTGGCTGCAACCCGAATTGGTCACAACC